TCTCAGATGTAGCTGGGCAGGGTCGGAGAAGATGGCCAGGATCCATGACATGCAGGATGCCGTATTCCCAAAGCTCTGCCTTCTTCAAGATAATCCCCCAAACGATTTCCCTCTAAACATTTCCCACCTACTACCAATTTAGTGTTTCTCAAACCTTCCTCTTTCCCATATAACCTTCAAGATTTTTGCCTTTCCTGCATACCACCTCTATTAATTGTTTAGGAAATGATTTTCTGCCCGGCCGGCATGGCTCAGTGGTTGAGTGTCGACCTATGAACCAGGAGGTCATGGTTCGATTCCCAGTCAGGACACATACCCGGGTTGCAGGCTTGATCCCCGGTGTAGAGCATGCAGAAGGCAGCCGATCAGTGATTCTTTCTCTCATCGTTAATGTTTCTACCTCTCTCCCTCTCCCTTCCTCTCTGACATCAATAAAAATATTTTTAAATGATTTCCTCTTTTTTACTAAGGTAAAGCCTCACCTTAGTCCCCCCAATCTCACCCAAAGATCTATAGAGTAGAGGGACCTACAGCTTCGTGAATCCCTCCACTGCTCCCCTAAGATTCCCACTACCATGGCCACAGAACCTTGCACACAAAGGGGGCTCTGTAAATAATGGCTGAATGGGTGACTGTCAACACAGCCCAGAAGACCATGGTCACCTTCCCACTCCTCCTTTGGCTACTCTAGCTTGTAAGTGCTTTGAAATTGGTGGTCCCCTGCCCTAACCGGTTTGGCTCAGTGGATAGAGCGTCAGCCTGCGGACTGAAAGGTCCCAGGTTCGATTCTGGCCAAGGGCATGTACCTTGGTTGTGGGCACATTCCCAGTGGGAGATGTGCAGGAGGCAGCTGATCGATGTTTCTCTCTCATTGGTGTTTCCAACTCTCTCTTCCTCTCTGTAAAAAATCAATAAAATATATTTTTTTTAAAAAGAAAGAAATTGGTGGTCCCAATGGTACCATCAGTTTCTAGCCACTTATAAATCCCCAAGAGGCTCATTTAGTAAGAATCAAAAAAGAGTTGATCTTCATTTTATTTATGTTGAACTATACTAAGAGATATTTATGGTCTGGTTTGTATGCCTCCCATCCAATCCTTCAGAACTATTTAATGCATTTAAACAAGTGGTTCTCACCCATCTCTCTCTCTCTCTCTCTCTCTCTCTCTCTCTCTCTTTCACACACACACACACACACACACACATGCACACACACACACACACACACATGCACACACACACACACACACACACTTTTTAAAACTGTCACAACAACTTAAAAAAACAGAGGGAGACTAAGAAGCTCACTCTTAAAGTCGGGTGGGAATGTTCTGCCTCACAGCTCGAAGTGTTTGCTTTAGTGATCAACCCAAGCTAGTAAACAACCCAAAGCACAAGTTCAGCCTTTTCATGAGCCAAATTCATCAATTGAAGACCAAAATACGTGTTCATATTTGCTGACACTTATTTAGACAGCTTATGTAACAACCCTCCACTCAGCTGGATAGATTGGCTAAAAGTGACATGACATCCTTGGTACAGAAGATTTTAGGTTAAAATGGGATTTTAAATAAAAACAATGAGCTGCTTTGTAGAACAACTTACAAAATTCCCAAGCCATGAATATACTCACAAATAAAATATGTGGCCACTGCTTTAGTCCCCCTACATTAATAACACTTAGCAAGCACAGGAGTTGGCATGTTAAGAAAATACACTTAAGTTTCCTTTGAATACAAACTACTCTTTTTTTGACAAACAACTCTATTTTCTTAAATGTCATAAAAGTGTTTATGAAATTCTTTCTTTGCCTTGGATCCACACCTGTGACCTTCTATTCAAGTCACCTTCTATGTGGATTCAATGAATATCTATTGTAGTTACAAAGAACAGAAGACAATGAGGATCAACTATTGGAATGGACTATATCTAGCCCATAACAGGCACTAAATAATGGCAACTATTATTACCAAATTCAGCACTCACTCACTGAACAGAAATGTGAGAAGAGAAGTGCATGGTAGGGCAGATATTTCACTGAGCTGGCATGAGTCCTGATGGAGTGGGGGGCTTCAGAACCTACCCTTTTGGACCTTGCAGGGAGCCAGAGATTCTGCCCAGAAGCCACTGGGAGGCCAAAGTGAAGTTGGGCAGGAAATGAAAAGAAAAATGAAATTCTTGATACCAGAATATAATTAACACCCGCCGTCCCAGAATAGTTCACATCTGCTTTCTGGTTTTGCTCTTGAAAACATATTTGTATTAGTTCCATCCCAAACTCAAACCTCAGATGTCCCCACCCAACACTCTGAGGTCTTGGACATGTGACTTTGGCGCTGGGTCCCTTCTTCCATGAGGTAAACAGGGGGAACCAGATCTCTAAAATCCTTTCTAGACTTTTAGGTCCCCATTGTGATCCATTTTAAGCTGCACTGTGGAGTGGCCAACATCAACATAAACCCAAAAAGCATTACCTACGTTACTGTATCTATTCACGAGTCAGGGCTAATGCCAAATACCTCTCCTCCAGTTTCAGTCCCCCGGATCTCTGAAAGCTCTCCTCTCTATGCTCCTTATTCTGTCCGTGTGTTGAGCTCACTTCCTAGCTTACTCATTGCCTCCCCAGTGACTGCATCTGGCTCACAGTTCTGCCTTCAGAGCCCAGAGAAATGCCTACTCAACGGCCAATGCCCACTCAATGGCTTTCACCCGCCCAGCCCCAGTGTTTGCTCTCCTAGGACCGCGTTAGTTGAAGAGGGGGCCGGGTCGCTTTTGGGGTGTCGGATAGGACCCCGGGCACACGATGCCTTAGACTGGCTGGGGGTGAGGCCACGGAAGCCTTCTTTCAACAAGCTTGCCGGGTGATTTTAGGCATAATCATTTGAAATTCGCTGCTCTTTCAACAACTTCGTTAGCGGTGTGTGTGTGTTTTTAAGGAAAAAAGGGTGTTTTATTCGAGATATTTTTTAAAACCAGGAATATAAAAGAAAAAGTGGGCAGGGTGGAGAGGGTCGTTCAAAGCTCTAAGGTGCAGGAACCTGGCATCGCTGATGCTGTCGGCCCATCTCAGCCAAGTAGGAACTCCTGGAGAGAAGAGAAACCGCAGAAAGGTCGAGAGTCCGTCGGGTGGCCACGGCCCCTCGGGGTCGCCAGGCTGAGAGCGGTAAGGGATCAGCCCTGCGCACTATCAGATTCCAGGCTCGAGCTTGGAGGCCCCAAGCAGCCCCGCCCCTCCTGTTACCCTGGTAACAGCGGCCGGCCCGCAGACAGCGTGGCACGAAAAGGTGGGACTTCCGTCTCTGGGAACCAATGCGCATGCGGCGGCCGGCCAGTCACAGGGAACTTCCTGTCACGTGATCTTAAAAACCACTAAAAGTTTCTAACTCCGAGGTCACGTGCCTCCGTTGCCATTAGCAACCAGAGGCTTCTAAACAGCCCACCCGCCCTCCGCAGCCGCTGCGGTCCAACCTCCTTGGTGGTCCCGGGTTTGGCGGGGCTGCGCCTGGCCTCTACCGCTCCTCGAGGCCG